TATTTACACAAATGTGAGGGGTGGACTCACTTCTGGGAGATAGTGTGTGTGTGTGTGATATATATATATATATATATATATATATACACACACACACACACACTTTGTATCTAGCTCTGCTTTAGAGGGTCACACAGCTCTATAGAATACTAAACCCCTTCTGAAGGAAACAAATGCCTCCAGACTGAAGCTGTCCTGGGAAGACTGGCGGCTAAATCGCAGCCCCGAGGGTTCGAAGAGATTGTTCCTCCAGCATCATCAATGTCTGTAATGATGTCCTCCTTCCCTTTTGCTCTGCTTCCTATCTGAGTGACCTCAGTAGATCTGTCTGTCTTCCAGAACTGGTCCCCCCCCCGGGTTGTGAGAAGATTGTCTGAGCCCACCCGAGTCAAAGCCTTGGAAATGCGTCTGGCCTCACTGAGTTGTTCCCATAATGCAGATATCAGGATCAGTTCACAGAGAGACGACTTACCTGCCGGGTGTCATTTCATCCCATCATCGTTGCCGCAACACATTCTTCAGTGTACAGAAGTAAATTCCGCATTTGGTGTGGAATTTTAGAGGCCATAAATGCCTAATTCTCCCAAATCAGTAGCATGCTTGTTATACTAATTGTGGAACCTAAGGGGTTAATCCTCCACATTGTGTAAAAAAGGCTGTTTGATCCTGTCTTCTCTGATCCTCCCCTTCTTCTACTGTTCCAAATTCATGTGCTGATAGAACAGAGCCTTGGGGGCAGGCTGCACATGCTCAGTTTGGTGTGTATTGCTAGAGAGGTTTTTTTTCTTCCTTGGGAGAGTGCATGTGATCAGCATATGGCCAATCAGTACTGTCCAGACAGAAGGTCAGGGGTTATACAGTCTCATAGGGGAGAATGAAAACTCCTCCTACAAGCTTTAACCAGTGCTCTGCTGGACACTGATAGAAGTCAAAAGACTACTATATACTGCTGATGAGAAAAGGTGTTTAGCAGTTTATATTTACTAAAATAATTGCATTTCCCTGTTTCTGTGTATTGTGGGAGAGCAGATATAGTGAATGCGGGGTCCGGGGAGAGCGGATATAGTGAATGCGGGGTTCGGGGAGACCGGATATAGTGAATGCGGGGTCCGGGGAGAGCGGATATAGTGAATGCGGGGTCCGGGGAGAGCGGATATAGTGAATGCGGGGTCCGGGGAGAGCGGATATAGTGAATGCGGGGTCCGGGGAGGGAAGCCGACCTTACTGTGGAGGTGGGGGTACACATGGGGGCCTGGGTAGCAGGGGGAAATGTATGGTGCACAGGAAGGGTGATGGGTGCACTGGGGGGAAATTCCCGGTACCGATCCCCTGTATGGATGTCCCTGCAGCAGCTGAAAGCCAGTGGGAGTAAGAGGAAAATAAGCCAGCTTTGAGCTGCTGCAGAGAGCCATACAGGGGATTGGTTCCAGTAATTGCCCCTCTGCCATGCCGATCACCCTCCCTTCCCACATCTGATTTACCCAACTGCCTGGGCCCCATACAGGAGGACTGGTGGTACCCCCTTATCCACAGCCCTGCTCACCAATACTTCCACTAAACCCAACACATTCCCCCAAACCATGGATCGGGTTCCTAGCTGAGCTCCCACATGTAGGTTCATCAAAGGATGTGTATGAGGCGCACATCACTCTGCCAGATTCCTGCATTCCCACCTCGCCATGGCAATCCCACTGGATCTATACATGAAGCTCCTCCAAGGGCTGAGATTCAGCAATTCCATTGGAAGTCAAATCATCGTCAGATTTATGGGCAATGTGAAGAGGACCTGTCTGTTCTCCAATAGACAACGTATATACAATGTATACCCCATCCTGGTACACTCTGGACATCTGCTGTAGTTGTCAGTTCTCCCATTGGACCTTTTATGTTGTGGGATTATTAGCCTGCTGGACGGGCTCACTGCACTGCTGAGAATCAAAGAACTGTGTTCGCTGAAGATTGACACAAAAGTTGAAATATGTTACTGTCTGAGATGATGTTACAATAAATGTTATTTAAAAAGATCGGATTGTCCGACCCAGTGTCACCCTGTCTTCTGAGAATGCCTCAACACTCCCAGGACAACCAGTCAGGGCCGGGACAAGGGTGGGCAGGACGGGCAGCTGCCCTGGGGACAGCGGAGGAAGGGGGCAGAGAATGGATATAGAGCAGTAAACCTATTCTAGGGCATGCATTAATAGTGGGGGAAGGGGGGTGCAGTGCTAGTGCCAGAAGCTTCAGTAAATAGAGTGCAGGGGTATAATGAACATAGATTTAAGGGTCCTACACACTCTGCCCCCCCACATACCCCATTGGTATACCCTTCACCCCCTGCAAATATACCCCAGAGTAACATCCCCTGCTCCTCTATATATCCCCAGTGTTACACCCCGTGCCCTTCCCATATACTCCAGTGTTACCCTCCCTAATCCATATATACCAGTGTTACACACTATGTCCCCCACATACCCCAGTATTACATCCCCTGCCCCCCTCCGACCATATACCCCAGTGTTACACCCCCTGCCCCACACATACTCCAGTGTTACACCACATACACCACACATACTCCAGTGTTACACCCCTTGCCCCACATATACTCCAGTGTTACACCACATCCCCCCCACACACAATCCAGTGTTACACCCCCTACACCCCCACACACAATCCAGTGTTACACCCCCTGCCCCACACACAATCCAGTGTTACACCCCCTGCCCCACACACAATCCAGTGTTACACCCCGTGCCCCACACACAATCCAGTGTTACACCCCGTGCCCCACACACAATCCAGTGTTACACCCCCTGCCCCACACACAATCCAGTGTTACACCCCGTGCCCCACACACAATCCAGTGTTACACCCCCTGCCCCACACACAATCCAGTGTTACACCCCGTGCCCCACACACAATCCAGTGTTACACCCCCTGCCCCACACACAATCCAGTGTTACACCCCCTGCCCCACACACAATCCAGTGTTACACCCCCTGCCCCACACACAATCCAGTGTTACACCCCTTGCCCCACACAAAACTCCAGTGTTACACTACATCCCCCACACATAATCCAGTGTTACACCCCCCTGCCCCACACAATCCAGTGTTACACCCCCTGCCCCACACATACCCCAGTGTTACAGCCCCTACCCCACAAATACTCCAGAGTTATAACCCCTGCCCCTACATACTCCAGTGTTACACCCCCTACCCCACTCATATGCTAGTGTTACACCGCCTGCCCCCCCAAATATCACAGTACTACAACCCCTGACCCCCACTTACTCTAGTGTTACACCTCCTGCCCCCTTATACCCCAGGATAACACCCCTTGTCCCCGACTTATACCACAGCATTACACTCCCTGTCCACCATATCATTGGTCTCCGCTGTACTTACCTCCATGGGTGATGAGCTGTCAGTGCCCACACAGCTGGTGTAGCAGGGGAATCTTCCTGATCCAAGTGTGAATGTTTGGTGAAACAAACAAGAGATACTTGTGCTCAAATCCCAAAAGCTAGTGCATGCATTTATCCATCAGGTGCTAAAGGGGTGTAACCACACATTAACACTAGAAATTCTGAGGACCCTCTGCACACTGGTATATACCCCCTCAAGCAGCTGGCCAACTGCGTCAAAGTAATCCCTCTATGGCCAGTCCTACCAGCTTAAGCATGTATTGCAATATGTGTGAACTAAATCTTCCTATTTATTGCATAGTCTCCTTGAAAGAGTATATACCAGTGTGCAGAGGGTCCTCAGAATTTCTAGTGTTTGGTGAAAGTCACATTCACTGTTTCCCTCTATGACCCACTCTTCTAGAGCCACCCACCAAGAGGGAAAAGTTTGCTTCTATGACCCACTCTTCTAGAGTCGCCCACCAAGAGGGAAAAGTTTGCTTCTATGACCCACTCTTCTAGAGCTGCCCACCAAGAGGCTTTAGTTTCCTTCTATGACCTGCTCTTCTACAGCCACCCTCCCAAGAGGGGAAAGTTTTCTTCTATAACCCACTCTTCTAGAGCCGCCCACCAAGAAGGGAACGTTTGCTTCTACAACCCACTCTTCTAGAGTCGCCTCCCAAGAGGAGAAAGATTGCTTCTATAACCCACTCTTCTAGAGTCGCCTCCCAAGAGGGGAAAGTTTGCTTCTATAACCCACTCTTCTAGAGTCGCCTCCCAAGAGGGGAAAGTTTGCTTCTATAACCCACTCTTCTAGAGTCGCCTCCCAAGAGGGGAAAGTTTGCTTCTATAACCCACTCTTCTAGAGTCGCCTCCCAAGAGGAGAAAGATTGCTTCTATAACCCACTCTTCTAGAGTCGCCTCTCAAGAGGGGAAAGTTTGCTTCTATAACCCACTCTTCTAGAGTCGCCTCCCAAGAGGGGAAAGTTTGCTTCTACAACCCACTCTTCTAGAGCCGCCCACCAAGAGGGGAAAGTTTGCTTCTATGACCTGCTCCTCTAGAACCATCTACCAAGTGGGAAACGTTTCCTCCTATATCCCGCTCTTCTAGCGCCACCAACAAGAGGGAAAAGTTTCCTTCTATCACCTGCTCTTCTAGAGTCGCCTACCAAGAGGGGAAAATTTCCTTCTATGACCCGCTCTTCTAGAGCCTGTGTGGGACTCTGCCACATCATGAATGATCCTTCATCTGAGGGGAGGGGTGGCAGAGGGGAGGAAGAAAGGACAGAGAGATGCTGGGTGTCTGGAACCAGTATAGCAGTTGAGTTGCGGCTCCTTCCAGTGTTCCTCTAAGACTCAGTCCCTTACTGCAAGCCGGCTGGCGGCTGCTGATCACTGTGGAGTTCCAGCCCTCCACTTCCCATTCATCAGTGGAGGAAGGTAATGTCTGACTTTGATGTCTCGTGTCTGTGTGAGTGCAATGTGTCAGTAAGTGATGACATCATCACGATCCCACATCCTGCTCTTCTAGCGCATGCTGGGCCTGCTGATCTGTGTCAGTGTTGGTGTGTTGTGTCGAATCTGTCACTGTGTGGGATAGGTCAGGTGTTCTCTGTGTGTTTGTGGGCTGGGCTGTCTGCTGTCACAGAGTTTTACCCCCCCCCCCCCCCAATTGCCTGGGGAATTCCAGCCTGAAATTTGTCAGGGCAATCTAATGCCACTTACTTTTGCAAATTAAAAGAAATGCAACAGTTTCATGTTTTGTTTGTGTATTATTTTTCTACTGCCTTTACATTTTTTTTTATTTTATATTTTTATTTGGAGGGGGGGGGCACAAGTAGCTGGTCCTGACTAGGGTGCAAAATAGTCTAGCAATCCTCTAGCCTCCAATGAACCTACCTTTCAGAGCCACCCAACAAGAGACGAAAGTTTCCTCCAATGACCCTTCACTGTAATCACACTGCTGCTGTGGATGGCTGTGCTGTGCAGTGTGCCAGAGCTGACAGGGAGGAGGACTGTTAATAAACAAGACAGTCCTCCTCCCCGTCAGAGATCATCGGAAATCACTGGGCGCCGGTGAGTAATTACGGTCTGGGGCCTGGTGATTGACAGCTGCGGCTGCGAATGACAGCTCAGGTAGGGCGCGTGTGCCCTCTACCCAGAGATGCAAAATAATGTACACATGTGTGATTTTTGCACACCCGTGCCGCTCTGTAGCAGTATTTCTGCTATAGGGTGGACAGAAAGCAGTTAATGTGACATTCTGATTGGTGTCAGGTGTTCAGATGGGTGATCCCATCGCTGACAATTAGACGAAATCCCCAGCAGCAGGAATGTTCCTCTGGAATCACTCCTTCTGTAGCCTAGGCAGTAAGGTGACGCTCCCATCGCTAGCAATGGAGATTCTGCAATGTTTGATCCAGCAACAGAACAACATCTTGCTGTGTCGGTCTAGAGGGAATCAAATATATAAAACAAGCATGCAGCGCTCCTATATGATATAAAGCAAACAAAATACCAAACGCATGTATATTACTTCGAATTTGAGAAATATGCTTATATATGTGCAAAATGGTGCATAACGCATATGGTTATATATCGCCGAGCATGGATAAGTTCATGAATGGATTTCCCAAGTTAAAACGTGAGGATGAGTGACAGTCTGTTTGTAGCAAACATCAAAATATTCGTGACATCAAGTGGTGAAGAAATGAGAATAATATGCACTAACCAGATAGCGCTATATAAACGCATGTAGATGATGAAATCATCTAGGTGTGAGCATCTGGACCCAGGTGTTCTGATTATGGCAACATCTATCGCAGCATTACAGCAGGATTTCCAAATGGCAGAGCTATGATTGAAGACCACCGGAGGGAGCCAGCAACCAGGATCACTTCAGACCAGGTATCCCAAAGCATATAGTATGTTCACCGACCACCAGGGGGAAAAGAGCTCAGGAGAATATCCAATAGTTTCCTTGAGGAAAAATTGGCTCAAGCAAAAATGAGCCAGAGGACAAAAATATCT